ATATATATATATATATATATATATATATATATATTCATCACTTTAAAATTTAAAGTTGTTATTTTTTATTCCTAATGCTTATTTTAAGTTAAATATATAACATATATTTTAAGGACTTACAAAATTTTTCAAAGGTGTCATATGTTGACTAGTAGTACAAACAATTGTGGTTTCATATGGAATGATCATGTATCTTTTACTAAATGTATAAGTAGTTAATAAGATCACTTCATAGTAGAAACTAAAATCAATATTGCTAAATTTTAGAGAGATAAAAATAAAATAATATAACTACATATACCAAAATAAAAAATTACTCGTTTTATAGAGATTAAAAACACATTTAAACTAAATGATAAATCATGTCATGTTTACATAATATTTTACCAATAATTGTAGTTATGCAGAATTTAAAAAAAAAAAAAAGAATTTGAGATACCCTCTATCCCACATACTAACATAGGTATATAAAATAAAGAAGATGAAAAGAAAAGTTAAAAAAAAAACTTTATTGAATTAATTATGGTTCGCAAATTACCTCTGATAAAGGTATCACATAATAACATGTAACCAAAACATGAACTAAAATAAATGTCTAATAAAGTGATTACACAAGGAAACTAACATGAAGTCATAAACATAAAGAAATCAACAAAATGAAAATCTTAACTAAATTTCAATGTCACATCCTATGAAAATACAACATCCAGCACAAGACTTAAGCCTCATCTCCGACCTCATCATTCACATGATGATCCTCACTTGCTAGTGATGGCCGCTTCCAATGAACTAAACATGTCATCAGTTTTAGCCATTATTGGTTCACTGTGTCTTGTAGGCTCGGTCTCTTCTTCCCTTGTTTTTGGCCTTAACTAAAATTTTTCCCTTGTTGTTGCATGTGAGGTGGCTTGTAAAGTCTTTGGTTTTGAGTCTGGCTCCTTTGTTGACCACCTCATGAAAAATTAGGGTGATTTCTAGTGGCAAGGTTATAAGTGGACGAAAATGGATTTTCCTAACTCTTGCATGAGTTTCCAACATAGTTGGCTTCTTCCACTATTATAGCAAAATATTGCCATCTAGAAGTTATTTTAGCTCCACATTGATCACACATCAGTGGTGGTACACGAGTCCCAATCATTTGTGTTTGTGCCCTCATCAAGGTCTCCATGAGTTTGGTCAAGGCTTTCAATTTCTTATTAACTAAAGATTGTTCCTCCACAGATATGTACCCACTGGTTTCTTTAATATTTGTTTGTCTACATTGGAGGCCATGTCCTCAATAAATTCAAGAGCCTTCATTGGAGATTTTTTTCATCAATGTCCCTCCACATGCAACATTTATGGAAGACTTGTTTTAATAAGACAACCCACTATAAAAGATTCGCACCAACTATCCTTTTGTGATATCCATGGTGAGGACATTTTCTCAACAAATCTTGGAACCTTTCCTAAGTTTCTAATAGCAACTCTAGATCATATTGTGCAAAGTTCATAATATCTTATTGCATATTGGTGGATCTTAAGGGAAGAAAGTATTTCATTAGGAATATTTTCTAACATTCCTCCCATGTGGTAATACAATCATTCGACAGGGATGACAACCACTCTAGCACCTTGTCCTTCAAGGAAAAGGGGAATAAGCCAAGCTTAACAATGTCTGCAGGAGCGTTGTTGTACTTAATTGTATCAATGATCCTTAAGAATCTCTTGAGGTATCCCAAAGGATCTTCAATAGGTTGCCCTCCAAACTGGCCACTACTATGTACTAGCTTCCATCGTAGGTCGCCAGATATTATCAATTACCTTAAGGTTTGGGAGGAACTATTCCTCCAAGGTACATTCGTCTACCATGACCACTCCTTCCTCGAGCAATATGGTCGTGCTCTATGTCTCCTTCCTTAACTTGTGAGTTGTTTTTTCAATCTCAAAATTGTACTACAAAATAGGCCCCTTTGAGAAGGTTAGCATACAACGTCGAAAAACAGGATTAGATGACAACAAAAACCATAAAAAAATGAAAAAAAATTAAATAAGCTTAAAACCCCTTTCAATCGATATTACTTGTGTGGAGAAAAGAAAGACACTAGAAGGAGGTTGAATAATGTCAATAAAAAAATCACACTTTTTTGAAACAGTGAAATAGTAGCAAAATTGTAGAAGTGCAGAAAAAGAGTAAGTTAGAAGAACACAAAGTATTTTTTTACTGGTTCAACTTAACTACCAAGACTATGTTAAGTTCTTGATTAAACCTGATCAAGTTCCAATATCTTTTACCAAAATACAAGTATTCTTTCACAAGTCACTTATGACTCAACTTAAGTATTCTTTGACTTGTCTCTTCAAGCAACTATCCAAGTATTCTTTAACACAAAGCCTATTTAGGCTTCAAACAATTGAGTATTCTTGTATAGTCAAACTTCTCCATGCTCAAAACAATAACAAAAAGTTAAAGTTGGGTAAGATAATTGTGTTGTTCGGCTTACTTTCAAGGTGTGATACAACAATATTGTACAATGTTTATACATAGAAAGAATGAATGTAATTTTTACATGTGTTCTTCACTACATCTTTCTGATTCTTCAAACTTTCTTATATAGGTGCTTTAGTGAAGATGGCCGTTGCAAATCCTTAAGCATCTTTCATAGGATTTCTTTGTTTATCTTCAATTTTTGTTCCTTGTGCAGAGAAA